TTTAAACATTGTCTTGTTTATTTAAGTGAAACAGACGCAGAAATGTCAAAAAAAAACGTAACTTAAAAAAAATCGAACACTACTATTTAAAATTCTAACACAAGCGTGCTAATCTCGTTTCTAACAATAGCTGTCTAGATTATATCTTGACAAGCACTTGACCGCATTTTAATTGATTACATGTATTTGTAAAGGTAAGTGGCGTAGAAGGATATACAAATCGCACTGTACAGATCGATGACTCAACATAACTTAGTATTTATCAATTGCGTACATATCGAAATTGGTGCTGGCGGCTAAAATTTTGCTGCGTCAAAGTAATTAAAAAGTTCCGTCTCCCCTACATAGTGTAGACAAAAGACATATTTCTGCGTCCATTTCACAGATAAACAAGACTTTCATGCTCTGTTTAGTTAAGATCTGTAGCGATTAAAGACTATTTTTTTATTATTTACGTTTACGTTTGTGTTATTTCGAAACATAGAATTATTGCATTTGAGGTTCCTTTTCAAATCACTTAGTTTATTTTTTTAGATGTATTTTCTATTTATTGCCTGTAATTTACTTAAATACATTTAAATAAAATACTTTTAACGGTTTAAAACACGAAATATATTGATGAATTTATTTAACTATGGCTTAACGTTTTGTATGCTTTGCAGCAGACGTGATCAAGAGAGGACCGTTAAAAGAATTTTCTTTAAATGTATTCGCGTAAACTACAGACATACAACATTTTAAATGTAATATTTTTAATCCGTCTATACTCTATAGTGTCCTATTTTTCTATTAAAATTGATGAATTGACTATATTTTTACCAAAAGAAGGTTTTTCTTGATTATATGTACATATAATAAACTGTGGGAACAGATATTCACATAGTATCCACTTTAATATATATCGTAATTAAGATTTCGCAGAAACTGTAACACTAATAATTTGAAGCACATAATATATCAATCTTATATAAACATACTATGGATATATACTTACGTATTTTCTCAATATTCTGGGAAAACTTGTAATGCCTGATGTAACGATTTGGCAATAACATTAATTAAAGGAAACTATATTTAGGCATTCATGCTGTTATTGGTAGGATGTATATGGATTGCTCATGTAGGGTTTACAGTAAAAAAGGTTTTTTGGTATACGTTGTTTATCTTAGACGCTTATGTAAGATCGCTTTCATTTAATATAAAGGCTAATACTAAGGTAACAGATAACTGTTGTTTTTTTTAACACAAAATAACATACACACGTTTTACGTATGCTATGCCGTAGTCTTTTTTTAGTTTTTTGTTAGTGATTACTATATATTTTGGACCGGGGCCGTCAGCGCTCGCCGTGTTTGACTAGACCAAGGGTACGGTACGGGGTCATCGGTCTTGGCTTGGACCACCGTAATGTGGGGAGCTTGAAGACCTGAATGGAAGCTCACCCGGGTGATCAGTACGTGGAGGAAATGACCTTCGCCGGCGAAAGCGGTTTCGGGGACGATCGGCGCCCGCGCATCGACGTCGCGTCGTGTTGAGCTTGTTACGCTACGGCTTTGGTTGTCGACGGGGTTGCTGAGAACGTTACGCGGTTCTTTTAACTGTCAGTATTTAATTGTTGGATAACACTAGAATATTCGCTATGAAAATAAGCTTGCCTTTCACATATAGAATAAAAGTACAAGAAGCGCATTTGTCGCAGCGACGACCGCATTTATTAAAAAGTAGCATCATATATTATATGCGTAATATATATGATTTATTATCCTCCACTTTTTCAAGCCTGTGAATCAAAAATATCACTCACACATTCGTGGCATGAGGAAAAAGGTGAAAAAAAAGTATACCATAAACGTGATATATGCTAAAAATTATGTGATATAAGTATTACTTGAATAAATCCCTTTCAACGCTTCTTAACGAGAAATGTATTCTGCCCGTAACTCGGTTGCTGCAAATCATCCAATACGTTTTATCATGGCAATAAAAATGTTTGGTTTAAAAACGATTTACGCATGAAACGATGCTTCTTTATTTATTGAACGTATGCTATACTTATATATACAGCTGAAGAATTGTTTGTTCAAACACGCAAATCTCGGGAACTACTGATTTATATTGAAAAAATATTTTTTGTTGATGAGAGCACTTATCGAGGACTATATACTATATGACATATAGCGCTGAGACTAGTTGGAGCGACGAAACAGCGGGCAATGCGGAGAAAAACTTGGCTTCCGTTACGCTGCGAAAACAGTTCAAGATACCCAAAAAATATGTATGAAAGCTTTAAGTGATCTAAAAAAATTACCAGGGCAGAATATGTCAATCTTTCAAGATTAACTCGCAAGAACCACGGGACCAGGACGAAGTCGCGGCACATCTAGTACTTAATAAGTGTAAAATGTGAGTTAAATTTACAACTTCATCTACTCATTGATATTTGATTGAGTAATCGAAGTTTTATTAATTCTGAAATGAGAGAACAATTTACTTAGGGAATGAAAGTTTATAGGGATACTCCCTCACCTTTGAAATGCTCGAATAAAAAAGACGTGTATACAACATAAACTATACATTCTATAAGGCCATTTTGCAAAGTATCTTGTACTTTCGAGGTGACGTCATCAACTCATGATCGACCAACCGACGATGATAGGTCGACCGCACATCTTGTTGAGATGTTTTATGGCTGGCGTTTTGAGCTACCATCATGTGAATCGTGTACTTGTCTGTCTCCCTCTATAAAAAAATCGTAAGCAAATCGTAGCTTTACATAAACTATGCCTAGAACATGTTTAACGGTTTAAAACACGAAATATATTAGTTAGCTTATTTTTAATATACTGTAACTACAGCAAAATGTTTAAATCAAACTAATATAAATTTACAAACAAGGTTTGTGTTTTAAATAATTAAAATTGTTTTATTTAACACTTAAACTATGTTTGTCAATAAAGCTTTATACAATTTTATTAGTTTGGAGAATCATAAGAAAACATTTCAGTCAAACTTTATACATATTAGATAGTCGACATGAGGGTTCAGAAGATTGACCACGATAATATGATCTACTTTCTTGTAAATAAAATAACTTATTAAAATTGGCACTTCTGTATCCCCAGCATCAAGTCTGTGGAAAGGGGAGTTCCCTTTTTATGTAGAATATAAAATCAGGCTATCATCTTGGCATAGACTATGACAGTTCTATTTATATTGTAGCAATCACAAAAGGATCTTTGTCTGTATTGTATCACCCTTTCAAGTCACATTTACATAATATATCATAAGAAATTCTTTACCGAAAAATAGTGGAATGGAAACATTGAAACACGATGGATGTTATATAAATTATAATTTACTACTAGTTCAATCAACAATGGCAGTACCGTACAACGCATAACTTATTTACTAATACATAATTTATCTTTTTCAAACATTAAATACATACAATTTAGACTGATTAGAAACTACCGCCCTTAAATTATATATTTCACATATGTACACATTTATATTAGTATTTTAATAGCTTTACAGACAGCAATATCGATTCATCATTATTTAATTGCGGAAATAGTTTCCTAAGCGACGCAATAAAAGTGAGTCGGTTCGACCAAGAATGGTTCGCCACAATTTATTAGCCAAATTTATTTATATTGTCACCTTTTTGACTTATGTCATACGCAATATATCACCATTTAAATATAACATATGAACGGTTTAAAATGCGATATATATTAGTTAAACTTATTTGAAAATTATTTTAACTACGGCCCGACGTTTCAGACCAGCAGCCGTGATCACAGGGCGACCTCTTGTCTCAATTTTCAAATAAGTTTAACTATATCGCGTTTAAAGTTCAAGTGATTTATTTAAAGGTGTACTACACGCGTGAACTACAGGCAGTATGTTATCATTTAATGGCAATAAGTAGAAATAGCGAAAGTACTACGTTTGTTGTCAAGAAATAAGTTTTATATTGTTTCAAGTTTACGAAAACTTCAACTATCGCGCTTCTGGTGGCAGACAAACAGATAAAATAATTTTAATAATATGGTCCTTCAATTACGTACCCTGAACTGTATGAAAAGTTCGTTAAACCTCCTTGCTTTTGAATTCTCGTGAACAGTATTATTCTAACAATGTAACTCCAAAATTTTAGGTATAAAATAATATTACGTGATTACTTCGACGGAGTTCATAAACTGCCTTGAAGGCGGATCATTTATTTTTGAGGGTTATTTGTGTTTCCCGGGAAGTTAATCTTCATAATTTTTACTGAACAATGATAATTTATTAAAAGTCGCTGCTATAATTTCAATTGAAAATTCTTCGGGAAAATCTTTTGTTTCAATATTTCAATGCTTTTTGCTTTTGAATTATTAAGAATTGTAACACTGAATTTGTATTCATAGTATATATTTATATGTCTCTCGTGGATATCAAAATTTGAATATTTTAATGATTTTAATAAATCTGGCGATTCAGTTATTATGATGTTAGCTCATATGACAATATATTAGTCCAAGTTAATTTATAACTTCCATGCTTTTTATATAATTGATACGGTTAACATTCTCGGAGAATTAAACCAGCCTATTTGCTACAAAATTCTTATCTATTTATTAGTACATCTATACATTTTTCCTTAGAGAATATACACATTATTTAGCTAACATTAGTATGTATACTATGTACATTTGTTACAATGAAATCTATATAATTACATAGAATAGTTAATTTAGCACCATATTCTAATAATTGATATATATCCGTCACGTTACGTAATTTATTAGTTTGTAAAGAGGAAGAAAATTCCTCTAAAAACCCTTTTCAAGAGAAAATATTTGAGATACACGTAAAAGGTTAACAAGGTATTTTTATGAAAAGGTATTTTCAATTACCTTTTGGATTAAATATCAACATTGCTGAGATCCTTCTTAGCATGGTTGATGTTTAATCCAAGGCACCATAGTTCTATTCGTCCGATCAGACTTCGATACCCGAACGTGCATATTCACTTGCATTCACTGTTGAAGGCACAAACCAGAATATCCAAGAACTAAATGTTAACAACAGTTTGTGCCTCGCTGCAGCATGGATTAACACTGATGTTCCATACCAGGTCCAAGACCCATTGGACCTGTTTGATGATCAGTTGTTAGTCGAAGTCAGCAAAAGCCTGGGTTAGTGTGCTCTATAACACATCGTTTGCAATACTTTTTAACGGCTCTATACCCTCTGAGGGTCACTGGAGTATCCTGAATGTTTAGCTGCGTCAGACCTCGGCAGTAGTAGGCTACTGCTTCTAAGCCATCGTCACCCACTAATTCACAGCCTCGCAGCGCAAGCTTCTTTAAATTGGGGCAGCAGCGGGCAAGAATCTGAAATCATATTAATTTATTAAGATGCCTTTATAAGTTATGAAGGACAAGAAGAAGACCTTTTGCTTCACCTGTTCCATCTATGGCGAGAAGACCACTATCTACTTTGTCGCTTTGTACACAACAGGCAAACCTATCTATAGCCAAAGTTATTTCCGCATATATATCTACTAGGGTACTGGAGGTGCGTTGCTCGGATTTTAACAAATCTACTTGTTAAAAACGAGAAACGCAAATATATTTTTTTGTTGTCGAGATACAACACAACAGACAATCATATGAATTAGGTGATTCCTAACCTTGTCTGTTCTCCTGGGATGAAATACCCCATCATATACATAAGCCACTATTTTGGTTTTTCCGCTGTCGACATTTTGCTTAACCGAAACAATACTTAATAAATATGAGTGATAAATTTATGCATTCAACTATTATGCCATAAAAACAGTTATAAAATATAAAGGACAGTTATATTAATATTTATAATACTCTATACACTTTGACAATTATTTTTGTCTAGATCATATTCTTAGCACAGATTCAGCTTTTTGAGGTAATCCACAACATCCAAAATCTGTACTCGAAGTATTTTTACCTTTGGTATTATTTTGAGGCAGAGTTTTATCTACTAAGGGTTAAAAATATTTGACGTATTCCAGGGGTAAACAAAGGCCCTAAAAGCCTTAACCTCTACGATCTCTGCCCTCGTAGACCCCGCAGAAACATTGTTTGTGTTTTAAGGGGTCCGTAATATAAATGAACAAGAGGTACTTTTGTCTAAATACTTGTTGTTAATGAATATCTTATGATATGCACGTACTATGAAGTAAGATAATTTTTGTAAATAAATTAAATAATAAATAAATAATTGTAAGTAAGATATTATTCGATCGTGACTTGAGAGATAAAAATTTCAAATAAGGCTTTAAGGGTCTTGACGATTCTTCAGTGCGGAAACTCTTCAGTGCACACATTTTTACTGAAAAGTAACTTTCGTTGCTATTCTTAAGTAAAGCCATTTATTTTACTTCTCCGTATTTAAAAATAGAAATTGATGACACAGGGAATGGAATTAGGAGCTTATTTTAATTAAGCGAAATTGTTTTATGAAATTGCCTTATGCGTGCCTTCGACTAAAGGACAATTAAACAGATGACTGTGTGTTATTTCGGTGCATACGGAAAATAATTGTTACGTTTTACAATAACTGTTAAGTAGTTTAAATAAAACACTTTAACGGTTTAAAACGCGATATATTAGTTAAACTTATTTGAAAATGACTTTTTAACTTCGGCCCGACGTTTCGGATGCTTTGAATTTCAATAGTGACGATCACTGGAGGTAAAACAATTGGTTTGTCTTCTAAACATTACTGTCTAAATTGTAGGAGCGTATTCAAATCGAATATGTATTTAATAATGTGTTCTTTATAAATAACTGTTTTTCTTTACTTTGCGTATTATTTGACTCTGCCAAATATAGGGGATTGAATATTTGGAAATATGTTATTGTTTACCTGTAATCCATTTTCGGAAACGTCAGTCGCACCTAGGTCCAAAGCTCTTAATCGAGAACAGCCCCTGGCTATAGCTTCTACTCCATCGTCCCCAAGAGCTCCACAACCTCGAGCGTTCAAATATCTTAATTTGTAACACCGCCTGGCTAGAGTACGTATACCAGAATCGGAAACCTGCAATTTAAATGATATTAAAAACAATTAAAACAAATAACAGTTGACAATCAATCATCGTCGGGTCAATTAATGTTAATTTTATCGGACGCTAGAGATCTTGAATTAAATTTCACAGACAGAAGAAAAATGCAAGAGATTAGGTACTCTATTAGTCATCTATACTAATATTATGAAGCTGAAGAGTTTATTTGTATGAACACACTAATCTTAAGAACTACTGGTTCGAATTGAAACATTATTTTTGTGTTGGTCAGAACATTTATCGAGAAAGGCTGCAATTAATAGGAGTGAAAACTCCCCGATATTAAGAATACCCGCTACCCGACACAGACGTTGGTCCATAGTTACAGTAATTTGTAAATAAATTAAGCTAATAGATTTCATGTATTAAGCCGTTAAAATTGTTTTATTTAAATCCTTCTGTTCTAAGAATGAATAGTATCTATTCCGGTAAAATTTAACCATCCGATATCACGAAGTTACTTCTTCAGTTCCGAAAGTTTGATTAATTGCAATAAGAATAATTAAGCTCAACACCATTAAGAAAGTTGGAGGCAAAAACGATAATGTAATAATAATTACCTGAGAGCATTTAGCCACGGAGAGATAGCGTAGTGCCGGTCCAAGTTTCGCCAGCTCGTAAAGCCCAAAGTCAGTTACGCCTGTACAGTCAGATACGCTTAGTTCTTTCAAAGCACAGTACGAGGGGACCCATCGAACACCTGCATCTGGAAAAATACATGACAGAACTATATAATAGAAAATTTGAGAACGATAAAATTTTACGTTACCAGTCTGTTGTTTGTACGATAGCCATTATGATTATTTTATTGAGAATTTCCAAATATTATAAATTGTTTCTTTATTGAATTTAATGTATGAATTAGCAATACAATAGATGTTTAGTTTACGCCTGTACAGATTGAAAGGAAACACTTTTGACGGAAGCGAGATTTATTAGTTTTTTTGAACTACGGCTCGATGTTAAGCTTCTAAGCATCTTAGAAGCTTCCAAGTACACATATTTTTTTATTAAAATGCTTCGAGTTCTACAGTTATTTGTTTTATACCTACGTAATTTGAAGAAATAAAACATTGTATAAAATGAATCATTCGTTAAAACGGATTTTTTAAATATAAAACTGACATTTGACATAGACGTCATTTTATTATCCAAAGCATTTGATGTTTAGTAAAACTCGAGTTTTTACTTAACCTCATCCCATAAGTACAAATCTCAAAGGGAAACGCCAAAGTACATTCGGTTATGGCCCAGACCAAAATTAACATCGAAAATGTATTAATTATCGTTAATTTTATTTCATTTAATATTTAATCAATAATAGAATTCAATTTCTTATATTTGTATTGCAATATTATCCAGAATAAACGGATTCAAACACAATATATATACTAAATTCATTTCACGTATCTGCCTGCCTTTACTATAATGATAGATACAGCATTACCAGTCATTTGTAGCTCATTTATCATCATGTCATCGTCATTAGGGTCTCCTTGTTGGTCTTGCATGAGGCACATTATTATGTACTTTTTACGTGGTCAGTTTTTCATATATTGATATCGTTATCGTGACTGTCTCAGTGGACAAACGAGATTTTTTGGGTTCGACTCGTGGAAATATATACTAATGTATATATTTGAAGAATTTGTTTGAACGCGATAATCTCAGGAACTTCCTTCTCGAATAGGAAAATTCTTTTAAAGTTAGAGCATTTATCAAAGAAGAAGATCGCGCTGCGACTAATAGGAGAGAAGAAACAGTGGAAATATGAAAAAAAAAACGGAGAAAATTATCCATCCATCAAGAACGACGGGACGCAGTTGACGACGTGGGTAACACCTTTTTATACACTTAAACAAGAGGTTTGCTAAAACGAATTTTGATGTTCAAAATAACTTTACACGGACGAAGTCGCTGACACAGCTAGTACGTAATAAATGGGACCCACAAATACCATATATTTGTATGAAACTATAAAATGGTGGTTTAGTTAAAGCTTAAGCTTATTAAAACATTGTGTTTTAATGTATTTTTCGCTTTTAACATTAAAATGGTGTTATTATAACCGAGAACAATCACGGCAATGAAATATTCAAATTATTAACGCTTGAATGTTGCAAACGTATCATGTATTTTAATAGAACAGTACATTTTGTAAAACAAAACAAACGAGGTTTAACGATGCGTGATTTGTAATTTGAGTCGGGAATGGGACTCCCAAAATAGATGTTTTGAAATGTTTTTATTAAACATATAATATTTACAGACAAAACGTTTCGAACAGGCATTTATGTATTGTCCGTAGTGTACGCGAATAAAATACTTCATATTAGATAAATGAAATAATAGATAGTTTGAATTTACGGTCCCTTCGTGACCACGGCTGAAGTGAAAACAAAGATTTACATTTGCTACCAGAGCCTATATAACAAATAAAAACAACTGACAATCGACTGCTTTATTAGAATTTTTGCCCTATTGTCAATGATTGTTGTTTATTCTGAATTGAAAATGAAGAACAATTATAGAGCTATCTTTTTACTAGGATTTAAGTAATCATGTCCTGCATTATAATATTTGCATTCTATACTAATATATAAAGTTTGTTTATTTGAACGTGCTAATCTCAGGAAGTACAAGTTCGAATTAAAAAAATATTTTTGTGTTGTTTATAATGCCTAAGTTTATAAAGATAAAGAGGTTTGCAAAAACGAATTTGGATGCCCAAAATAAATACGAGTGATATATTGATAATTTTATATGTAATTCCTGCTAAATACTTACTAATCTATACTAATATTATAAAGCTGAAGAGTTTGTTTGTTTGTTTAAACGCGCTAATCTCAGGAAGTACGGGTTCGAATTGAAAAAATATTTTTGTGTTGGTTAGAGCATTTATCGAGGAAGATTGCGATGTGACTAATAGAAGCGAAGATACAGCGAGAAATGTGAACAAAACGGGGGAAGTTCTTAATCTCTGTAAGTTTCAGATGCGTATGCTACGAAAACGGTTCAAGATACCAAAAATTGTGTATGAAAGAATGATTCCCCTTTAAAAGATTAGATCTTAGAAAAAAGTCCGCGACGCTATGTCTATCTTTTAAGACCCGAACGACGGGATACGAATATCGCGGGTAACAGCTATCTACACTAATATTATAAAGAGGAAAGATTTGTATTTTTGTATGTAACGGATAAACTCACCAAACACACGGACCGATTTTAATAATTCTTTTTTCATTAGAAAGCTACATTATCACTGAGTAAAATAGATTATACTTAGTACTAGATTACGAAAAAAATCTTTAGAAACTCGGAGGTGTAAAAATTTGCCATAAAATGTATTTCATCGCATACGCTGCGAAGAGTATTAATGATAGGACAAAAAATGTTCGACAATATTATAGAATATATTAATATCTACAAAAAACATCGCAAGACCATATGTCTAATTATTGTAGTTACGTAACTATAACTACTTTTTTACATTTAACAAATTAATAGAAACGCAGAACAAAATCAAACCGTGTTATCCATAAAATTTATAAATTTTTCTGTCTACTGTGTCTGTCTGTCCGGCTTTAACTCCGAAACTGCTGAACTGATTTAAATGAAATTTGGTATACAGATGGTCTAGACCCTGAGAAAGGACATAGGCTATTTATTGCGAAAAGGGGGTCGTAAGGTTATAGGGGGGGTGAAAGATTGTATGGAAATTCGTGGTTTTTGAAGCTAGAATAATGAAACTTTTTCTTTAGTTTTTTGGGAATAGGAGTGGGAATAAATTAGCAGCAATTATAACTTACCAGTGACTAGAGTACATCTCCTCAAATACAAGTACTGCAATGACGGGCACGTGTGCAAGAGTGCGCAGAGACCGGCATCTGACACTGCGCCGCAATCAGTAAGGTCTATGTATTCTAGTGGAGGTCGTCGTGCTGCTAATCTGCTCTCCAGCCAAGCCCACTCCGGCCAATCGACGTTTGGGCAACCTATATAAAAAGACGTAGTTTTAGCCACTGAGACATACAAAAAAAAATCTTAAGATTGTAATGTCGCAGTTTATTGGTTTCTTAAGTAAAAACCTGGTAATGCTCGATAATGATCTTGTGTTCTTAATTATAAGCTTCAAAATAATTACATTTTAAAAGTAATTAAAAATATAAGTATGATTGATATAGGCATTTAATTGATTAGTAAAAGATTTCAATTTATTTCCAATCAATAAAATTATAGATAGTGCTTCGCTTTGCAAAATATTAATTAAATCTTCATATCAGTTGCGAGATATATTATTCATTTTATAACGTGTGAGAGCCAATGAAATTAATTATTTCATTACCATATTGATGGCGATAGCAGAAATTTATTCCACGCATAGCAAACCACGCCTTGAGCCTCCCTAACTCAATGGTTAAAAACTAGGCAACACGTTTCCAACAATTTTAAACAATTTAACGGTTTAGAACGCGAAGTATCTTAGTTAACTTCGGTAGTTAACAGAAATTTTAAACAAGTTAAGAAAATATATGTCGTGTTTTAAACCATTAAAAGGGTTTCATTTAAACCAGTTTGCATTAAATAGAGGTCCAAGATTCGATACATAGAGTAGACGATAAATTGTCTCGGTCGAACAGGGCATAAAAGACAGATCAATTAACTTTCCTGTAAGTATTATGATTGCTCAGGGACGCAGACACAGAAATGCTAATGTCACACGGGACTTTGGGAACTTCCGAAGTCTTCATTTCAAATTATCAAATCTTGACATAAACAGGCATTACATTTTGCTGAATTGAGTCCTTTTTACCAAGTAGACTAAGAGTGCCCAAAAGGGAGCTTTAGTCCAAACTCCGTCACACATTCAAGACTCCAACAAAACATCAGCATACCAGTTAGATCCAAATGCCGTAGGTCCATCAGGTCTGTGACTAAAGGTGCGAGGGCCCTGGCGTCCATGCTGGTTGAACCTGTCAACGCCAGGTGAGTGAGGTTTCTGAAGGTGGCAGCCACTAATTGAGCACCAGCAACTGATACCTGTAACACACATTTCTATTTAGTTAACTGTGAGATATAGAAACTCTAAAGACCGTCAGAATTCTAGGCTCGCGCTAGTCGGTCGCAGCTTCGAGTCCTGCGTCGCATTGATATATTTTTGAGGTTCTATGTGCAGTAATATGAAAAAAAAATTAAATATAACTTAACCTTTAAACTGTTTTCTTCAAAATATATCTCCCATAGTCACAGTCTTCCAATCGAATGGTTTAATTTCCAATCAACAGTTTTTTTGTTGTAACTTTCTAGAAAATTCAAAATTACTTGCCTGTCTTATAAAACACTAAAGCATATAAAAGGCACTGTTTTATTAATTAATTCAACTACAGCCTTACCGCGCTGTTCTTCATCCTCCATTCCCTGGCAGAACCAGCGCAGAGGCCGGCCCGAGCGCCAGCACATCTGGCAGCCACTTCCAGGGGGCCGGCCGCCCTCACTCGCCTCCAGGGTTCTGGTCGAGCTAGCAACCTTGTCACGAAGCGGGACCAACGCCGGCATACGCGGGACATTCGACATAAGTCTGATACCTGTTGGCAAAATTGATCTATCATGGAACATATATACCAACTAATATTGGATATGCATAATGTACTTAGATTTGGTAGATCTCAATAAGCCACGAATTTAGTTTTTTAAATCATTACAGTTAATGCTAGTAGTGCACATTGAAATGAAACACGTTGACGATTTAAAACTTGAAATACCCCCACGTGACCACGGCTGCAAAGTATTCGATGCGTCGAATCGCAACAGAAATAAATAATAATAAATTAAATATAAACTGTGAAATATATAAGATATTTCACAGTTTATAAAGTTAAAAAAAAATATAAGATTTTTTTTGCTACAATATATATTATTATATTTTTATTTTTGTGGAAATTGAATCTTGGTATTACATATACATGCACTTTTTAATCGACGCCTAAATAGCTGAACTGATTTTGATAAAATTAAAATCATAAATATATTATAAGAGACTGTTTGTAGACAACAGAAACAATTATAAGAAGTTTTAATTAATTTCTTTAAGTATATACCTCAAGATAGGACAGAATCTTTAACCATAGCGCGTCACTTAAGCTGTTATCTCGACGTCGCCTTGGCGGGCCGCAGTCTGCCAAAGTGTGGTACCCTTGGTCTAGACTCAGCTCGCTCAGGTCAGCTGCCAAGGATAGAGCAGGTTCCGGGGGCGGTGGAGGTCTCCGTCTCGCCCCCCCACAGATCCCCGGAGCTGAACAGCTCCCCGTAGACATGCTGTATTCCTGAAAATAAGTAAAATTTGATTAAAGCTGTAGAATGCAATGAACCGGTTTGTTAGGAAAAAACCGTTTCTAGGTGTTTTTGTATTATGAGACAACCAGTTACATGTATGTTGTTGCGGGTAGTTTTGTCTTCTCTATACGACGGCCGAACAAAGATAGCGCGCTCTGACTGACGCTTTACCGGTGCCGCTCGTGAGTGTTGATTGTGCACAGTTTTTGCTTATTAAGTTTGTGACTGCCGAATAGTATATGATTAACGCCTGCGTGTAAAGTAGATTTTGAAGTATTGTTAATATAATTTCCACGAGTCCAGTGCGTTATTTAGAATGATACATAATCATAAATTCACTGGGCATATGACGTGATGACGTAGTACTACACAGAATACAGACAGCCTTGTGGCTGTCTGTATTCTGTGTAGACAATAATATTGTACAGGAATGAGGAGTCAACCACTGGACCGGAGGTATGTACTTAGGCTAAGGAGCCTTGTTAGCCATATGCTATAAAGTTACCGTCTGTCTTGTTAATACACATTATTTAAACACGTTTAACGGTCTATAATGCAAAACATTTATAGTTTTCGCATTATGGACGCTTTGAAACAGTTTTGGCCACGGAGGGACTGAAAATGGGGGGTGTATCTAATGTCAAAGTTGATTCTGCTACGTTAGCGCCATCTGTTTCGCCGTAGTTGGTATTACATATGCTATTTGTGAATACAAGACAGAAGAAACGGACACAGATGTTATGCCCCATAGGAGTTGCTAGAAAAAAAAATTTCAAGTCTATCCTATAAAGCTGTCAATGTAATGAATTCAACATTCAATTTTAATCTAAGCGCACGTAATTGTGGGTTACCTCCGATCGCTCGTTGACCTTATTTTGCAATTAAACCAACAATGGCAAATAAATCAATCGGGTAGGCTCTTGAATCGAACTTCATATACCTACTACTTTTCATTGGTGAATAGAATGACATTAATCAATGAGAATGAGTCTACTTTTTTAGATAGAGGTGGATAGACACATAAACACAATTAACTTCACGACTTTTTTATCTTTAGACAGTGGCTCGTGCCTCGAACGAATTTTGGATATTCCTTTCGCATTTAATATCCAGATTTCAAGACGTAGTCCACATGTTTCAGAAAAATTATAAATTGATTAGGAACAGGTTGGACCCAGTGGGAATCGAATCGAAAGCCGGTGATTCTTAGCCATACATTGCTACTATAAACATAACAATGTTATATGTCATATAGATCAAGTTTTCAAATTTTTAAATTGAGAACAAAACTCAATTCCAAAATAGACGATGATGACGACGATATAAGATTTAATTACAAGTGTTTAAAGCAAGTATGTTTTTTTATTTACTGACGTGGTTGAAATAAATATACGTTTTTTTTTTCTTATTTTCCTCTGTGTATACAGTAAACAGTTATAAATAACTCGCAATATCAGGAATTTAAATTGGAAGCTAGTTACAGGTATTTAAATAACTTTCTCCGTTGAGCCTAAAATTAATTGCGCAATTTAATCCAGATCACGCCCGACACTATCAATTCCACGTTTAATAATTGGAATTTAACTGTTTATATAACCAAATGTATTTCTCTGAGGACATAAATTCGAAAAGATTTATGTAGTTAGATAAAAACTGTTCGGAACGCGCCAATTAAAATTGTGTCCGACACTTAACAAGCTTCCTGAATTCCTATTTTCGGGGTTCAATTGAAGCAATTTTAGCTAACGATGCAAGATAACGTTAGGGTATATAATCGGCTTAGTGCGTGTTGAAATCTCATATGAAGGGTACCGTATCTACAATGGCCATCATTTCGGTATGAAACGGGATGTCTGGTTTCGCCCTTCAGGTATGAAAAGTGTATACACAACATTATCATTACACAATGATAATGGTATGGTAATTCCGTACTTAGTATAATTATGTGCTCACGTGTTTTGTTATTTTATATAAGGTATAAATAGGCGATGTATTGTGTGAAAATCTATAATTAGTATAAGTATAAATATTTCTATTAATTTGTTTTTAGTTTTAATTCAACTGACAACAAATATACACAATTGTGAGTGTGAATTTCTTTAGATATCGCAGCACTTGACGATCAAACTAACAAAGTGCAAGATTTACAGACAGACTGAATCGCCTACAGATAGACTAACAGGCTTACAGGCAGAACTACAGACAGACAAGGACTTTGATGACCGACAGACGGACAAACCGACAGCAAAGTTTTAGTAAGTGGGATTTTTACGGAACCCTGAAAACAATATAAAATTTGTAAGTATTCGTTTTTGAGTATTAGTTTAATATTTCGTCATGGAAGCTACTTACTACACTTACCATACCTACGACATTTTATCATTCAAATAGTTTTACGAAACACTCGCTTCAAAAGGTTAACTTTATAAATCTTCGACAACAGCGTTGAAAGCACTCAAAGCAAAAAGTTATTTCACGAAGCTTTTTGTAACTAAGGCTGTGGTCCTATAAACGCAGTAGGTCGCGCCGTCATTATAAAAATATAGTATTTTTACCCCCTTTACACGATTTTACCAATCACTCGCCGATGCCCCCCTCGGGGCACCCTTGATCTAGCTGCAAACCCGGATTCAAGCGTGCTCGCCAAAACGCCTAGTTAGTATTAGTATAGAAGTATAGACCCGAAAAAAAATACCGATTTATATTTTACGCAGCTGACAGCGTTTATGGGAGACCAAAGCCTAAAAAAGACATTGTCACGTCAACGTAACTCTTTTTTCGAGTTGGATAAAAACAGAACCGTGTACAAACTCCACCTACGCACGTCGCATCGCTGTTTATGCGCGTGACTCGACTGGGATTCGAACGTGTAATATTATCCCGCATCGATTGTTCCTATCTGATTGATTTACGGATTAGACTGATATTTTGTTAGGTATGTCTTTCTTGTTGAACCAACAAGTTTAGCTAAGCAAGGTTTCAATAAAAATAATAGAACACTGTCTATAGTTTACGCGAGTAGTACACATTTAAAGAAAACACTTTAACGGCTTAAAACGCGATATATTAGTTAACTAGACTAAAGATGGAGGATGTCTCTGACGTCAAAGTAAAAAATTGCTACGCGAACGCCATCTGTTCCGTCGAAGTTGGTATTTGGCGAAATTGGCCGGGTCCTTGCAGAATTGACTAACGGTGTCTTCGCGTTTGCCGGTAGTCTCCCCGTGACCACGGCTGCTGCAAAGCATCCGAAACGTCGAGCCGATGTTAAAAATCATTTCCAAATAAGTTTAACTAATATATCGCGTTTTAAACCGTTAAAGTGTTTTATTTAAAAAATAATAGAAATTAATGTGTAACGTGTGTAAACACAAAAAAGCTCTGAGCTGGCGAGTGTTAGTAAAAAGCAAATTTTTTTTTTATATGTAACTGTATGTATATCTTAATAAATAATTCGAGTAAGTTTAAGTTACTAACGGCGATAACCAACAACCGTCGTTCCTAGGATCTCCCAGGGCGAATATGTGTACCAAAACAACGGACAAAAAAAATTAATGAACAGTTTATTTTTTATGATAGAGAGGAACAAGGATGGAATTAATTTGTTGCAATGCAAATCATTCTAGCCATATAACATCTCGACATGATGCGCTGTCGACCCTTGTGGCTTTGGATATTCGGAAATCCATGGACTAAGACCGATACAAACTTTACTTAAACTTTATGGCTTTTACATGTTTGTACCTTAATTTACCATCTACGATGTAAAATTAATTCAATTGTATTACTGAATAAACAAAGCTTAACTTAGGGAAATAATTTATACAAAATCGAAACTTACCGACGTGTAAACAAAGGACTATCAAGTTCCGAGACAAATTAATCGATAAGTGACCGATTGATCGAGTCAATTCCCTGCCAACTTTAACGACACAGATTAGCTATTCATCTGACGTTTCCTGACATTATCCTATTTAGGTTAATACAATGCTTTGAGGTATGGCGCCAACATTCCTCAGAGGTGAAGCCTACTCGAACTTCTAAATTGAATTCAAATGGCGAGGCAGTGATCCAATGGTAACAAATGTAAGATCAACAGGTTCGATTTTCATCGGATTCACAAGTGAGAAATAAGTTAATATATTTTCTGGACTGGACATTAAGAAATTTTAAATTTTTTTAACTTTATTTTATTTTTTTTTTTTTTAAGGTGGAAATTTTTTTTTTTTTTTTTGCGCCCCTTCTTGGGGGGACCTCCCCCCCCTTTTTGAAATTTTTTTTTTTTTTTTTTTTTTTTTTTTTTTTTTTTTTTTTTTTGGGGGGGGGGGGGGTTTTTTATTTTGGGGGGGGGGGGGGGGGGGGGGGGGGGGGGGGGGGGGGGATTTTTTTTTTTTTTTTTTTTTTTTTTTTTTTTTTTTTTTTTTTTTTTTTTTTTTTTTTTTTTTTTTTTTTTTTTTTGGGGGGGGTTTTTTTTAAATTATTTTTTAATGGACAACTATTACTACGCAGACGAAGTCGCTGACACAGCTACTATGAATATAACTAGAAATAATTACAAGCCGTACAAGTTGAATTCTGTCACCGCCCAAACGAAATTATATAAGCTCACCTCAATATATCTTATCACACAATAGACGTCATTTTGGGAAACTTGAAAAGGTCACCTGCGCTAGTCCAATTATTGGATCCGTCTTATTGGTATCTATTCAATTCGTGGTTTGTTAGCCATGTATCCAATATTGGTGTGAATCAGATTGGAAGAGGTGTGGGCACTTGTTTTTATTTTAAAAATAGCAGCATTTAAGAAAAAGCTAGTAAAAATTCTTACTGAAATCAATCTTCAACTGTTTACTGTAAATTTCTCCATGTCTTAACGAAAATAATTCATTTCTTTGAATAGGACTAAGTACGAACTTTTGTCACACAACGCTTCTTATCTTCAATCTTTCTATATATTCTTACAAGCTGTGCCCGCGACTTC